TTTGAATAATATTTCACAGTGTATATGCACCACATTTTCATTCACCATTCAACAGAATGACATTTAAATTGTTTCCATTTTTAGCTATTGTAAATAGAGTGGAAAGAAATATAGCTGCAGGTATCTGTGGAGCAAAGTGTTGAGACTTTTTGGCATATGCCTAGAAGTGGTATACCTGGCTCATGTAGTAGGTTTGTTTGTAGTGTTTGAGAATGATGTCCAGATGGGTTGCAACAATTTTCAATTCCACTAACAGTGAATGAGGGTTCCTGTTTCCCCATGTGCTCAACAACTTTGCTGTCAGTTTTGTTTTGTTTTAGCCTTAACTATTCTGACTGGAGTTAAGATGAAATCTCAAAGTAGTTTTAATTTTTATTTCCCTAATTGCTAAGATCTTTCTTAGCCACTGCTATTCTTCTTTTGAGAACTCTTTGGTTGGAACCATAGTCCACTTGTTCCCTTGGCTCTAAGCTCTGTATATATTCTGGATATGAGTCCTCAATCAGATTTGGAACAAAAATGATTCTCTTCCACTCTAGGGACTTCCTGCAGTGAGACCACACCCATTGGGGATAGGAACAGGTGCAACAGGTTCAGACAGAGTGAATATCTCACTACAAGTTCCTATTTACTAGATTGCTTCCTTTATTGTATAGAAAGTCTTTTAGTTTTATGAGGTCAAGTGTTGGTCCTAATGCCTGAGCAAACAAAATCCTATTAAGAAAGTCCCTTCCTACACCTTGCCTATGTGTTCTTCTAGGCATTTCAGCATTTCATTAATTCAAAGATGACACCTAAACTTGGCTATGTTGTCCATGTGATGCTGGCTTTAAAGTCATGAAGAATATAAGATTAAGGGAGTTGTGAAATTTTCCTTCATGTTTTCAGACAGCCACTGAGCCCCAGGCAATATGTAGCAGTGGAGGCCTGAGAGGCCATTAAGCAAATCTGGAAAACTAAAGCATTGGTTGTGATGGGGATCCCAAGATGCTGGAGATGCCAGAACTATGAGACACCAGCCAATGAGAGATAAATACAGGGACCAGCCCCAGGAAGATTTTTATGATGCAGACAGAAAGTTGAAGGAGTAGGGCCATCTAAGCACTTTGAAATTAAAGTCATAACATCAGACATGAAACTATAGGATTTGACATTTATCCTGATGGGTTTTAGTCTTGCTTTGATCCAGTATTTCTTTACGCTGCTCCCATTCCTCCATTTTGGAATAGTAATGTACATTCTGTTCTCATATATATATATGAAACATGCAGTTTGTTTTTATTTTACAGGCGAGCAATTAAGAAATTACCTTTAGTCTCAGTAGACTTTGGATTTTTAAACAGTATTAAGACTGTACAAGATGTACAGACCTTTGAAACTGAACAAAATGCATTTTGCATCTGGGTATTGGTGGCACACACCTTTAATCCCAGCACTCAGGAGGCAGGGCAGGTGGATCTCTGCAAGTTCGAGGCCAGCCTGGTCTATAAAGTGAGTTCCAGTACAGTCAATGCCCCCCTAGTCTCAGGTATGTCAACAATTGTTCTCCAGAAGGTGGCACTATCTCTGTAGTTTTAGGAGGTGTGGCTTTGCTGGGAAAAATGTCACTGGGGTCAGTGTTTGAGAGTTTAAAAACTTGGGCCATTTCTAATTTGCTTTCTCTGTTTTCCTTATAGATCAAGGGGTGAGCCCTTAGTTTCCTGCCATGCCAACTGCTTCTGCCATGCTTCCCTGTCATAACAGACTCTTAACCCTCTGGAATGGCAAGCCAAAATAAACCCATTCTCCTCTAAGTTACCCTGGTCATAGCACTTTATCATAGCAACAGAAAAGTAATTAGTACAACTTATGTTATTGAAGGTTTGCTTGCATTTTCAATTTGTCTAGAGATGTTTAGGTGTTGCTTCTTGTAGATTTAGGGCCACAGCTTTATACAATCACTCTCATATGACATCAACAATCAAGTTCCTAAGACCCACTGAGATATCCAATGTTGCTCCAGTGAATAGACTGTGTCCCCTCTGTGCTCCCTGCCATACAATAGGGCACAGGCAGGCTCAGGCTCTTTTGTCTTGTTGGCCCCAAGATGGTGCATGAAACCCTATCAAGTATTCAGTTTATCAAATACCTAGTATGAGCCTGATGTCCAACTGTTTACCTCTGCATGGTCTTCATCTTGGAATTTTTTACTACCTGTCATTTTTAGAAGTGCTTGTGTATGGGTTGCTTCAGTGGAAAAAATGATCTGAATTACATGATCAACTGATGCTCAGTGAAGAATTCCAATTCTAGATATATCTGTTGCCTGGTTTCTTGGATTCCAAGGCTTCAAAATTGAATTAAAGCCAATAATTTATGTGCTTCACATGATTATAGTCAAACTGTGTAATGCAATCCTTTACTTTAGATATTTATTAATTCCCTATTATTCACTGCTCCATTCTCTTGTAATAGGTATGTAAGTGCCCATTTACATTTCTAATGTTTTGTTTGCCTGTGTTCTTCTGAAAGGAATATTTCTTATTGGTATGGATCTTAACCCACATATTGTGGTTCTATATATCTCAAATTGTTTTGTGTTTTGTTCTGCTTGCTTTACATAGGTATTAAGTTAATCATTCAAATTGTTCTTCCAGTTGTAGACAAAGTGATCAATAACCATACGTAGATATTTGTGAAGCTCACTTCAAAAGTAACACAATTGCTACACAATTTTGGAGAGTTGATGTAATAGTAAGTATTATGTAAATATAAAACTATTCTAAAATTGTTTATTTCAATTCATAAATTCAACTGTTTCCAAAGCAATGATTTCAAAAATCAAAGATGGCCTGATAAGAAAATAGCAGGAATATCTTTTTCATTTTGTTCTGAGAAAAGGCAGACAAATTTAAATTCAGCAATTCTTTTTTTCTTCTTCTTGTGCCATAATTATGTTGGGGCAATTTTTAGATAAATTTTAATTTTTGGATGATGTAATGTGCATTCTTTCCATGTGGTTTTCCAATGTGTCATACTAAGGCAGTACTGTCCCTCATCCAGTGGGCTTGGCACCCCTGTCAAAGGTCATTTAACCATATGGATAGGTATTTATTTCTGGTCACTATGGTATTCTCTTGGACAGCTTGCCTTTTATGTATGCCCAATACCAGAATAGTGTGATAATTGTAACTTTATACTGTGGTTTAAAATTAGAAAGTGTAAGACCTGAAAAGAAGACACCTGTTCTTGTAGAGGACCTGCATTTGATTCCCATCACCCACATGTTGGATCATAAACATCTGTAACTCCAGTACTAGGGGATCCCATACCCTCTTCTGAAGCTCCATGGACCCTAAACATATGCACACAATCAGGCAAAACACTCACACAGAAAATAAAATAAATAAAATAAAAAAGATCTAATAAAAATGAAATGAAAAACAAAAAGTATCAGATGTGAGTCTTCAAAATTCAACTTCCGTCTTCATTTTTCCTTGTTAATTTGAACATTGTTTTGATTGTGTTCTCTCTTAACTTACAAAACCCAGTTATGGTGATTTAAAAAATTTTTTTCTGATGTCCTTCCTTGTCCTGAGTTTCTTTCAGTGTAACTTCTGGAGTTTCAATGTTTGTAATTGGTGTGTGTGTGTCTTAGTGTTTTGTTAGGATTTGAGGGTTTAAATACAGCATTTTTCTAAGACTACACACTGGATTAATGTATAGAAAGACTGTTGCCAGTGGGACAGAGGCTCAGTCACCTGTATAACCTTTCCTACTTTCTTGTTTCCATGGTGCCTGCATTTAGACCTGCAGGTCTTAAATGCTGCTGGCCTGTTGTGAGGGGCTTCCAACTGCCAATCAATTTTCTTAAGCTTTCCAAATCAGGCAAGATAGGAACTTGGTTATCATCTAGCTGCTATACAACCAGAACATAGCCCAGTCTACCATGTCAGTCCCAGTACAGGGGCTGTGTCCCATATTTCTCCTGGCTGTTCTACATTATATATGGTAGAGATGGGGGCATAGAGAGACATTCTTGAGAATTTTCCTACACCCATAACTGGAATTCTTTCTTGTTTTTGTCATGGCCTATGTGCTGTGGCTTCTCAACTGACCTTTACACTTTTCATGGGTCTTGGAGTCCATGTATTCTTGACTATCATAATATGAATGCCACCTACTTTGGGAAATGTTCAACACATGGTATCTGTATAACTGGATGTCTTCTTCAAACTATATCTGAATATAAATCTTAACTAGATTTCAAATGAAAAGTTAAATTCTGATAATGAATTGATTTAAAAATTCATATAAGAATTGCACTCACCATACATACCTCTGTGCATTCAGAATGGGAAACATTGCCTAGTGATGCCTATAAATCCAGAAGGAATAACTCATCTATGGGATCAACACATGGCCAGATGCCATTGTATGCCAAGACCTTGGCTCTTCCTTACATACTCTTTCAGGAATACTTGACCTTAATCAGCTGTCAATGGGAATGAATGGACCTAGTGATCATTTATCTATGCAAATGGTCAAGGGAGTAGAAGAGAAATGAGATGTTCTTCAGTCTTGCTCCATATACTAATTGATTTTGCATATTGGCTTTACCATCAGATGGAGAGTCTCAAAATTCTGATTAACAGAGCATCAGGAAAAAGGAATACTAGAAATAGATATCACCATCAATCATGGAAGAAAAGAGGGAGAATGAGTGCATCCAACAAAGTCCTGTTGAAATTTCTCTCTTTCTGGTAAAGTCTCCATTTCTGAACTGTTTGAATATTATTAGAGGATATGGAACTTCATCCAGGGATGAAGGAGCCACTGAATACTGTTGACTTGGGTAGAAAATAAAGGGGCTGTGCAATTTTGAAAGTCACTGTGACTGATGATTTGCTCTTTTCAACCTCTTGCTTGATGCTTTAACACAACAATTTTTTAGCTAACTGGTTAACAGTCTTCTTTGATATTTACCATATGATGCTTAACAAACAACCCATACTACTTAGTGCCTTATAAAATTATTTATTTTTGGTAACACACAAATCTAGATGCATTGTGAAAATCCTCATGTTTCCACATACATATGTAAGTAAGTACAGTAGTGCACAGATAAATGTGCGAGTGCACACAAAGGAAAACACTGGCATTTGGTACCACTCAGAACCCCACTGATAAATTGATTGATCATATTAGATTGCACAAAGCATTTTATAAGACACATAAAAAGCCCCCAGCTTCCAAAGAAATAAGGGGTGGGGATAAAGAACATAGGAAAGCCAAGTAATTGCCCTACATCATAAAAAGGATCTGAAAGCTTATAAAATACCTGAATGCTTAAAAAACACATTAAGCACTTTGGACAGGAGCCATTTTGCAAGTTCAGAAACAGGAATCAAACAGGCAGTGCTGTAGCAAGGCCTCACAGTCTGGGTTCTTAGGTCAAGAGGGACATGCAATCCAGATGTCCAGAAGGCAGTGAACCAGAGCTGGCAGGCCGGGGTGACATAGAGGGGCTGGCCAGCTGCAGTCCCCTCTCTCCAGCAGGACCTGAAGACAGAATGACAAAGGCCAGAGTCAAATTACATGAATGTTATTGTCCTCAGCTCTCTCTGCACCTTTGTTGTATCTCACATGATCTCAGATTTGACAGCAAGACTAGGAATATACCAATCCCCATCAGAATTCCTTATCTCTAGTTTTAGCTCTACCATCCCTCAGGCACAACCAGCAATCCCTTTTGGTCAAACCTCGGGTTTCCAGACATGACCCTCATTGAGTCAAGGAAATTCTCTATCTCCTCACCCCACAGATTTGCTGGCCTACCTTGCATCACCTACTCTGCTAGACCTCAGTGACAATTAATCTCTCCAGCTTCATCAAATGCCTTTTGTTCCAACATGTCCACCCAGAGTGGCTTCCCACCCACAAATGAATCTCCATTTGGTGCTTTTGTTTGAGCAGTGGCCAGACTCCATCTCAGCCTCCCCAGCCATGTAATACTCCTCTGATCTCATGAAACCCTTCCTGTTTGGGTTGGCCTTTGAAATTCACTGGCAGAATTCAGCTTGATAAGGTTGTCCAGGATCCATATCTGCATGGGAAATGCCTTGAAATCATCATCATGATCTTGATCCATTTCAGACTCTTATCCCCTGTGTATGTCCTCCCAGCCCTCCTAACTCTGCAGTGGACTGGGACACAACTATGCATTGGAAGCCATTATACCCAGTTGTATTCCTTCTACTTGATATAATGTCTCCCTTGGAGCAAGACTATGCTACCTTAGGGACCTCGGTCTACCCGTTTCTTGATGTCAGGGCACTGAACAGTTTTTATAGCACAAAACATTTAGTAACCCGAAAATTCACTGAGTAGCCCCTAGGTACCATCTCTCAAGTCAACCTTAGGAACTTGAGTGTTTGGCTCCAAGGTAGTTAAAATCAAATATGAGTTCTTAGCTACCAACAGCTCATCATGCAGCTTCCCTTTGCCAAATATCCCTACATACCTGGAATGCCACAGGGCTGGTGACGTGTCTGTGAAGAATTTTTCAGAGCCAGCAGAGCTTCCGCAGCCTCCAGCATCTCCTGCCACTCCAAAGTAGCAGAAACCGAAGCCTGGTTGGAGGCACTGGGGCCCTATAGAGGAAAGAGTGGGAGAGAATGAAGACTTGGGAAATGTGTGTCCTCTTCTAGAACTGACCCTCTAGCACCCAATTTCCTCAGCTGTCCCCCTGCCCTGCCCAGTCCACTTGTGTTCACATCTCCAAAGCCTCCTATTGTTCTGAGTCCCATGTCTTTCCAGGACCTGTGGCTGCAGGAGCATAGGGTCAGCGGTGGCACAGGGCTGAAGAATCAGGCTTGGGCACCTGGAATAAGAGGAAGGGTCAGGGGATTAAAAATGTGCTCATAGAAATATACTACCATAGACAGAGTAGCAGGAATTTACAATACCAAGATTTAGAAATCCAAATGATTGCATGGATATTTATCCTTGGCCTTTGGACAAGTCCTTTCTATTGGCTGGCTAATTTTCCTTTCTGTCCCTCTTTTACCTTCATCTCTGAGACAATAGTTTATACTAGCTTTTTCCTTCCAGGGCTACAGTAAAACGAAGAAGAAGGAGAAGGAGAAGAAGAAGGAGGAGGAGAAGGAGAAGAAGAAGGAGGAGGAGAAGGAGAAGGAGAAGGAGGAGGAGGAGAAGAAGGAGAAGAAGAAGGAGGAGGAGAAGGAGAAGGAGGAGGAGGAGGAGAAGGAGAAGAAGAAGAAGAAGAAGAAGAAGAAGAAGAAGAAGAAGAAGAAGAAGAAGAAGAAGATGATGATGATGATGATGATGATGATGAATCACAGTGTCTGTGTTTTGGCCTGAAAGTAGCTGAAGGCATGTGAGTACCAACCCTTCTCACTGCCTGCATCTTTCCTCCACTTTACCCAATGACCTTTGGGCATGAAAGACAATTCAAGTTCACCTCTAGAAATTTTTCTGCTGTCCTTTGCCCATTCCCCTGAAGCTCTGTGGCCTCCTTATAATGTTCCCAGATTTAAAAAGGACCTTCCTTCTCCATCTTTCAAAAAGTAGTAACATTCTCAACAGTCTGATGCCCTACTATGTGATAGGCCTTGTGTTAGTTCTCTTTTCAGTGCTACAGATGTGGACTATGTACACAAACATGCTTGCTGGGAAACAGAGACTTGGAAAAACAGTCACTTGTCCAGACCTTCATGGATAGAAATTTTCCAAGCTGAGAGTGACATGCCCTTGCCATTTTCTTCTTCCCCAACTTATTTACCTCCTTTTTTCTGCTGTCATCCTCCTGCTGCTATCTCCCATGGCACTAAGCACAAGGCTGGAAACCCTCAAACATAGTACATTCCATATTCAATGTCCTACTCACATGCTTGGCAGGGCAGAGGACCCATAGGGCTCCCCAGAAAGGGAAACCGTCAGTTGTTGACCCATGGTCTCTGAAGTATATGGCAAAGAAGTTGGTTCTGGAGGCTGACTCAGAAGCACAGGCCCTTGAGGGCTCTCCTGAAGGGGCAGAGATCAAACATAAGGATCAGGCACCCGTATGTCCATCAAGAGAAAAAGGGTGAGTGTATTTTTGGAAGAATATAAGAACACAGAAGTTATAGCTGTGGAAACCTTGAAGATCATCCAACCTTACCTTTTAACTCTGATTTGAGAAGACTTAGGGCCAGGGAGAAGTGATTTTTTTCCCAGTGCCACAAGAGTAGTAATCATAGGGTTAGAAATGGAAACTGTCCTTGGGATATAGTCGAAAGGGTCTGGGCAATGGCTGATGGGAAAATCCCCCTTGGGCAACACACTCCTCTTACCTCCTGGGTTGCTGTATCAACCTGCGCCTGGAGCTGATGCACAGTGTTCTTTCCAGCTATAAAATAATAGTCACATTTGCGTTGAGACTTTCTTCCCTACCATCTCCTTTCTAAGATACCCCACATACATATTGAGATCTCATCTCATTATTGATCTTTTCTGCTCCCCAGTGCATTGCCAAATAATTCCTTCCTGTACACACTTGGAACTCAACAATGATTTTTTTTTTTATTATACACCAGAGAGTTCTTGCTGAAGGTCATACTGCAAGTCAGTGATGGGACTGGTGACAGAAATACTCATGCTCCCTCCCCAAGTTCGGGTACCTTATCTAGTGAAAGATACTTACTGAGAACTCCTTCTTCCACAGTCAATTTCTTGACATTCATGTGTGATTTAGGGGCAGTAGCCATAATCCTTCTCTGTCTTTGAATCAGGCGTCTCTTTATCTGTGTACTCTGCTGCTTCTTGGAGGCACTCAAAACAGACAAGGCCTTACGTAGTTCCCTAAAGTGGGGGGTGGGGATGGGGTGGAGGGTAAAGAAATAATATTAGTTACATATAGAAGTTGGATCACTTCATTTCCTAGACACTGTACACAGGAAAAGAAGGCATCATTTTGACACTCCCAAGACTTGAAGAGGCAGAAGTGCTTTTATCCCCTTATTTGGACATGCAATCTGCTGCTGTGTTGGGACTAAGTTATACCAGTCGCCATAACTTGCCTCATTGAAATGTCATACATTATTCATTGGCTCAGCATATGCCTCAAGCATAATTGTGTACAATGAAGAAAATGCTACAGCAATCTGACAGGAACTTTTTAGAAAGTAAAAGAACTTTACTATTTATTTAATTTATTCAACATTACTTTTATGAAGAAAAAAGGATGGTACAGGAAGAATTACCAGCCAGTATTCCTCATGAACAAAGATGTAAACCTCTCTCATGAAATTTTAGCAGTTTGAATAAAAGAATGTATGAAAAATACCCAATGTCAAGCATAGTTTACCCTAGGATTGCAAGACAAATTCCTTTTAAATACCAGTACAAAAGCTGGGTCTAGTGGCATAAGCCTATATCCCAGCATTTAGAAAGTTCAGACAACTGTATTTCAACAGCATTCAGGTCAGCTTTGGCTACACAGGGAATTTCAAAATAACTTGGGCTAGAGTGAGACCTTGTCTCAAAAAAAAATCCACCAATGAGGGGTGGAGAGATTGGCTTAGCCAATGAATTTTACTGTATTATTGGGACAAAATAAAAGAACAGCAGTTACCGAGATGTGTGACAAAAAAAGACATTTAACAACATAAAAGCCCACTCATGATAAGTATGAAATTAAAAATTTGGCAATGTAAGAGCACAAGGGAATCTCATTAATCCAATAAAGTAGATCTACCAAAAATCACTACCAGAAAAATAATTCGCTACTCTATAAATAATTCTTTTATTAATATTTATATTCTTAGTATTATTTTTTATAATTTTCATTTAGCAGTCAGGGTGATGGATTAGTTATGACATTTTCACATATGTTTAGCATTGTACTTTACTCATATATACTTCCATTGCCCTCCATTACTAATTTTCTACCCAGTCCTCTGCTTACCCAAAATGGTTCCTCTTCTACTTTTATGTAACACACACATATGCACGTCTACATGTATAATTGAATGTAGACTCTGCACATGGGGAAAATGTGATATTCACATTTATTTTCCTTCATTACTGTCTTGTTTCCACCACCCTTTAGTTTCTTTTTTCCCTAAATACAGTGTCTTTTACTTGGATGTAGTATGTCTATATACATGCATACACAAATTAAATTGTGTTAATGGGAGAAAATATGTGATACTGAAAAGACAGGACACTACAAGTAAACATTTAGAAATTAGCCAGAATGTCTCTCTATAGAGATTCTAAACATGCACACACTAAACTTTAGCCCATGGCTGGCACATAGGAACAAAACTTCAAAAAAAGAAAAAAAAAAACAGATTTAGATTGGAAGGAAGTAAATGACTGTCCTTTAGTCATGTACTTTTAGTATAATATTTTTATTAATTCTTGGAAAATTTCCTATATGTATACAATATATTTTGATCATATTCTACCTAAATCCTTCCCAAGTTTCTCCTAAACCTCCTAAATCTCCTAAATCTCCGCCTATGTCCTGTTTTTTATATACTATTTTTATCAAACTTATGAGAATTAATACAATGCATTTTAATATATTCACACCCCATACCTCCCCTAACTCTTCCTATGTCTTCTATCTACCTTCCCACCCCCTCCGAACTCTGTGTCCACTTTATTTTTCTTTAACAATCCACCAACATGAACTTGAAATCCAACTGTAGGGCCATCCACAGGAGCATGGCTGATTCACCAAGGGCACAGTTTTTGAGAAAACCAATTCTCCCTAATCCTCAAATCTATAAACTTTCCATAACTCTTCAGGTAATGTGGAGACTCATGGCCCTCTTCCGCAACCATGCTACATTATTGACTGGCTTGATGGTCTGAAGGTTATGTGTTATGAGATCAAAAATACAATGGCTTTGTCACAGGCAGAAGACACAGTTTTGCCCTGGCATTTCCTGAATTTGGTGCCTTACACTCTCCATGACTCCTCCTTCACAAAGTTCTATGAACTTGATGTGGGGGGGGGGTAGAAGGAGTGGGAGGAGAGTGGGGGGGAGGGAGGCATATGATATAGATATCTCATTTATAGCACCACACTCCATAGACAATGTTTTCAGCACTTTGACCAATTGTGAACTGCTTAGTAAATTGCATTACTTTGAACAACAACAAAAAATCTCTGGATCAACTTCCTGTAAAAGTGACATAATATTTAATACAAGGAATATTCTACATTGCAGATAAGAGTCATCAGTAAACGTTAGAAATGCTGTACAAGTTATTTGAATAGAAAAATGTTTTATGCACAATCCCACTAAAATTCAATATATAAGAAAAAATTGGCTGGTGGCTCAAAGTGTTCATTAACATTGAATTAATAACAAAGTATATTATGCCCAATGATCAAAACACTCAAAGAACAAACAAAAAAGTTCAGGATTTCTGCTCTCAGTAATCATCAATAAAAGGAAAAGTTATTGTTCAAAAAGTTCTATAGCAATACATAAGACACAAAATGGCTGACGACATTTGGAATAGGACAAAGATGGAGGACTGCTCTCCTGAAATTCATTATCATCCTACAACTTGGTAGTAAACACCACAACATGGAGTAACCTAAGGACAGGACACACACACCTGTGAAATCAAAGGAAGGCCACAAATAACACTACAAAGGCTCTACGAAAAGGCACAAGAAAAAAGTGTATGCTCTCAAGGAAAAACTGAAAAAGCAAACAAAGACCCATGGCTCCAGCAGCTTACAAGATGAAACCCAAAATGAATCACAATACTAAGAGTAAACCTATGTCTGGACCCCTAAGTCTGTCCTGCACATTGTAGAAGCTAACCGGACCCCCAAATACTTTCCATCATTCACCAGAAGCAGATGCTCGGGAGCAGGTATGAAGGAAACCTAGGAAGAGCAAAGCCCTCAGAGAGAAAAACTGGTGTCCAGGCCTTATGGCCTCAGGGCACCATGGCCTCCCATGGTTCTAGGCTTTTAGGGAACATTTGGACCACGCACTATGTAAGGACATGAAAAAAACATCACAATTCTAAATAATCAGGGCACCCACAGCCAGGCCTCGTAAGCACCTTTGTCTGTGCAAACCCCACGGGAGGGGAACTCACCGTGTACCCGAAGACCTCTGCATTGTCAGTTCAGCCAACAGAACTTGTGTTCAGGATGCTGAGCTGGCCAGAATGAGATGAAAAGCAAAGGGAAAACAAATAAAGTTCTGAGGGGCGGGACTTAGGACGAGTCCATGCACCAGAAATGTATCCACTGATTGAACACAATGTACTAGACTGAAGCAGGGAGGAACCATGGGCAAAAGCAATGGGGCTCAGGATGTGGAGGGGCAGGGCTGGGGATATAGAGGGGACAGGCCTCAAGCTCTGCACCAACCATAGTGTGCAGCTCAGAAGATCTCTACAGAGAACACCTGGTGCGGGGTATCACTGGTGCCATCACACACTTTAGAGGAACTATGGTATTCCTTCCCTTCTTCACACCTCCTGGGCAGGTGAATCTCACTTTTATGTGGTCTGGAACATCCTCTAGGGGGCTGAGGTTTGGTCAGGGATGGTCTGCCCACTTCTCCATCCTCGGCACCTCAACCAGCAGTGCAGATGCCCATCACAGTAGCCGAATGGGGTAATGGACAGCAGCCATGAGGAGACTGCAAAATGACGCCTCACCCCTCTTTCTCAGACCCCGAGAAACCCACTATACTTCCAGAGAGATGTTGTCTTTGCTCACGCCATGGAGAACTCATCCAATGGCTCGAGAGGCACCAGGGCAGCTGCTCCTCCAAGAAGGACCTGGAAGGGCCGGTTCCAGAGAGCCCTGGCACGTATGTCTAAGTTCTTCAGGTGAGGGCTCTGAGCCAGCCCAGCTCTCTCACCACTCACACCAAGCCGGGCTGGCCCCCTGGCTCTCCATCAGAGAGCACCCAGCCCTTCCCTCCATCCCCACAGGGCTTCTGAGGGTCCTCTTGTCGTTCTGTTTCCTTCTTAGGAGAGGGTGCTGGGCAGGCCGAGGCTGAGCACACGGGAGTCAGAGACAATGGGCCATGGCTGTGAGCAAGACCTTCTGCTACCCAGGCCCCTGCTTTCCTAAGAATCTTGTTCAGTGAAGTCGAAATAAACGCCTGCCTGCTTTACAGTGTTTTGGCTTCGTGTATTTCCTTCTTAATCCACACTGACATCAATTTAAGTTTTGTTGGGGATGATATTTAGGTGATGGCTTGGGACACCTAGGAGGGCAGAGCAAATATCTTAACAATACTCCAAGGGCATCATGTTCCCGTTGGAGGTAATGATGCTGGCTGTGAGGGGCATCGTTGTTGAAAGGCAGTGTCCAGCCAAGAGTTTTGTTTTTATTTTGTTCTGACAGCTGGCAACTCTGTCCCCCAAACTTCCATACAGCCAGGAGGAGAGCCATGTATTCCTCCCTCCTTGTAGTCTAATCCATCTTCGTAGCTGAGAAATCTTGAGGAGAGTTTATGAAGAACTGGGAGAAGGACACATACACAGTGTGTTTGGAGCCTGTAAAAGGCCTATAGAAGTTGTGCTCACAAACAACACCCAGCTCCTCAAAACAAGACTGACCAAGAACATCCTTGACTCACTACACAAGGTTACTCTCCAGGTGATAATGGATTCTTGGCGTCCTGGGGGTGAGGGGAAGGAGGGATCCTGAAAGATACTGTAACATAGTTTAACAAAGATGTTCACAAGGGAGTATGGTGCACATCTCATCTTTTACCCCTACAGAGGTTATGATGGGTTCTTGGCTTCCTGGGGAGGATCCTGAAAGATACTGTAACATAGTTTACCAGGGAAACCCAAAGGGAAGATGATGCACAACTCGTCTTTTGCCCCCAAGGCAGAGCAGTCCCTGAGCAGGTTACTGAACTATGAAATATATTTTTTGCTACAGAAGAACATAAACACTACACAGAAAAACACAAATTCCTTTTCCCTTTTAAATTATATAGTCTCCTTTGCTTCAAACTAATGGGGTGAAAAAATGCTTGGGCACGGCCATCTCTGAGAATCCCGTCCTTCCATGCTCACAGGAGGAGGCTCCTTTCTTGTTGAGAGAGGGAGAATGTTCATATAGGGGCAGGTGGCATACAGGCAGATAGCATTTCAAAAGCCACAAGCCCTTTCCCTTTATTTCTGTAGGTTAGTCACGGTGCCACACTCAGAGAGAATAGTTGAGGTCTATATTGGTTATGTTTTTCATTGTTCTCAAATAGAGCTCACAGAAGTATATATTTTGGCTCACAGATTAAAGGGGTCCAATCCACCCTGCAGGGGAATGTGGCAGAGTTCACAGTGGAATGGCCAGACAGGTGGACCTCTACAACTGGGAAAAGCAAAACACTGAGCAGGGGACATTGGTGTTTCCATTTTCATGTTTATTCAACCCTGGAACCAAGTCATCCAGTCCATGTAACGACACACCCACACTCTGCGGGAGCCCTTCTCTACTCAGATAAATGTTTCTGGGAACATCCTCTCAGATGTCACCACAGACACGTCTCCCATTGATTCCAAATCCAGTCAAATCGACAGCAAGATTAACAATCACCTAGTAGTTAATCCTAGTGTGATGGATGACTTGGATGTGATCTTTCAGTGGCATTGCTGATGTCTGAATATCATTCCCCACCAGTCCTCTGTCTACTGACTTGGGTCCTGTGCTGTTAATTTTCTATTATCACCATGGACGTAAAGCAAGCTGGGGAGAAAGGGCCTGTTTGAACCCACATCTTAGCATCCTATAATTGATTGAAGAGAGGCAACAACTCAAGACAGGACCTGAAGCAGAGACCATAGAGAAATGCTGTTTACTGCCTAGCTCTCACGGCTTTCTCAGCCTATTTTCTCATAACTCAGGGCCACCTTCCCTGGGATGGCACTGTGCCCCAGTGGACTGAGTCATCTGCCATCAATTGTTCTTCAAGAAAACATGCACATCAGGCTGATGGAAGGATTCCCTACAAGAAGGTCTTCTCTTCCCAGGTGACTCTCACTTGTGTCAGGTTGATAAAAAGTAACCAACACGGGTCCAAACTGGCTGGGAAGGTGAGCTCTATGACATAACCTCTCCAGTCCTAGCCAAACCTCACGTGCAGGGCTTGGCCTCACCATCCAAAAGAGGATTAGAAGTTTCAACTCCAAGGAAATGGTCAGCCTGCCCAGAGGTTATGTCTTCTCAGTTTGTAAACCTTTTCATGTGAGTGTGTGTGTGTGTATGTGTGTGTTTGTACTGTTGGTCGGTCTGTTTCTGTCTCCATGTGTGATTAAACAGTGAATGCGTATTGAAATATTTGGTAAAATTTGACTCCACTAGGGAGCCACACTAGAAACTCATAAGCAGAGGTGGGACACAGGCAGCTGGACTGACCCATGAGGAACTTCATATCACCTCCTCTTACGAGACACAGACACATTCTGTCCAACACCATCCAAGCTGACTCGAATCACAGCCATAGTACTCTGCCATTGCCCACAAGGTGCTACTGCTATATTCTACACTGTGTTTGTTTTCCAAATGATGTACCTCTGCTGCTGATCTCAAGTCTTGCTACAGTCACCAATCACAGTCCTTCTAGGCCAGCGATTCCAACTGTTGGTTCCTGACCCCAATGAGGTTCATATCAGATATCCTGCACACAGATGTTTACATGACAGTTCATAACAGTAGCAAAACTACAGTTATGAAATAGCAATGAAATAAATTTTACAGGTGGGATTGACCACAGCATGAGGAACTGTATTAAAAGGGCACAGCATTAGGAAGGTTGAGAACCTACATTCTAGGCCTTCATGGATCTCTCTCCTACCTCCCGATCTACAGAAACACAGAGTCACAACTTCACAGGGAAAGATACTTTCCTCTGCTCCTCCCCACACTCTAACAAGTGACTCTCTGTTCTCTCACCAATAACACTGCTATTCTCCTAGTCTGGGAACCAGGGCATGGCCCAGTGCAAGTGTTGCCTTTTCTTAGGGCTCAGCGCTTGTAGAGATTTATCCCTGGGTTCTCACAGCTATGTGGATATGCTCTCCCTTGCTTTCTCAAAGAAAACCTTGAAATGAAAATTGTATGCATGTAGGGTTTACGAGTATGTGAAACTTTGTGAAGTGACTACCATCCTCAAGCTAAATAGCACATAGTCACCCTCAAGAGTCGCCGTCATTCTTCTGTGGTGAAAGCATTTAAGATCTTCCACCGTGCACATTTCCAGTATGCATTGAAGTCTTTAACATGTATGCGCTGAACATACATGTTTCATATATATTCAGATGTCACACTTTCTATCACATGGGAAGCAAAAGTAGACTGTTGATATATTTAAATTAGACATATACAGCTAACCAGGCTTTTTTATTATGTACGTCATATATCACATACAGTGCATATACAACTATACATACTACAAGGCAGGATCAACAAAGTATACATTATAGCCTTATAATAGAAAATAAGTTTGTGTCCTCAGGCTGTCACTTATACCAGCACCTCCCTTAGGCTGTCACTTTTAAGAGACCCTTCACATTTGTCATTCCTACCCAACAGTGCAGGTGGCTGGCAACCACTGTTGAATGCATTTCTTCTCTTAAGAAAGCAGGTAACATCTTATTTGTCTTTTCTTTCTTGTGTCTCCCTGTACCCATGTTGTTGTGAAGAAAAGTCCACAAGATTTCTGTCTGTGGAAAATGAAACTCCATTTTGTGTGTGCATGCAACTGTGCATAGAAAGAAGGAGGATTTTCACAGAGGATGCAGGGTGAACCGCATTCTTTGCACTTGGAAAGTAAGCATTCACTCAACTGGCTATATTCCCAGCCCATTTTTAAGCGAAAGACATGTAACTGCATCTAAGTAATTTGCACAATGTTTGGATTTGAGCTCTTTCTGTAGCACAGGAAAGTCATTAATGTGTTTTTCTTGTGGTTCAGCCTGCCAAGTGCCAGTAATTGCAGGTTTTCTCCACATATCCTGCTATATTCCTGCTCTATTTATCCACTAAGAGGCTTTTAAATTATGTCCCTAGGACAGGTACTGTGGGTGATGCTTCAGCCAATGTGGGAATGCAGATATTTCATGGAGTGGCTGATTTTTATCTCTATTGGGTATGCCACCAGTACAGGTACAGTTAAAATGCTTGGTAGCTCTGATTTTGATGTTTGGAGACTCG